GCGCATATTTAAAACAATTCAAAAAAGATGATTATGATATATGATAGATTATGTATATGTTTATATCTAAATATTCTAAATTAACATTTAAATTCTCTACTGTCACCTAAGAGTAAGTTTTAATTGTTTTAAATCTATCATTTTTGTCTAATACATAAGTAAATTTATCTTTTATTATTTTTCCATGAGGACCGGGAATAATTATTAATATATTTTCAATTTCACTTAATATATTTTAACTATTGAATAATTGGCTGTTTGATTCTTCTAAATTAATGACCTATAGAAGTCCATAATTATCGCCACGTATATCTATACATATACTTATATTATTCCTTTATACTTCTTAAATTGAATAATTTGACCAATAATGAAAATCCACAGTAATTTTACTATTTTTATATTATAAAATTAGTTAAGAAATATTGATTTGTACATTTAATAACGTAAAATATACAAAATTTCAAAAATTGCTACATAAAATTAAATAGAAAGGCTGCAATTAATACAAGTCGTGTACATATTTGATCAAATTTGATTGATCTTAAATGAAAAAAAAGTTGCAATATCAATTAAATTTGGTCTTTAATCATAATATAATTCAAGTGTATATTATAACATAATATTATTGACTATAATTGAATAAGTACAGATAAATATCTACTGCCATTTACAACCATTTATACCACCGCCCCACTACTGGGTATGGGCAGAAGATTTATGACAAACTAACTCACAATATGGAACTTTTATCAAATTCTAAAACCTGTATGTTTATGTCAATACTTAAACATATTTTTGGCATTGTGTTTTTTAATACAAATTGTCATAAAATTTGACTAATTACATTTTCTTCTATATTCAGTTGTAGGTATTTATTATACATGGTTTAGTTATACATTGTACTTTCCGTTGTATTTATGTTAGTTCAAATGTTTTGAAGATTTAATTCGGTACCTATTATAAAATCAATAATTGTCTAAAATTAATTTAAGGCTTATAAATTATGCATAATCAATACTCATATAATACAGACCAATAAGTTAATACATTGTAGCTTTCCCTATTTGTTTATTAATTCATTATTTGAAGTTGATACACAAATTAATAAAAACAAACATCACTTACTTTATATTTATAAATTTAGCAAATTATAGCATTATTATAAGCCAATCAAAACTTTATTCTATTTTATATCACTAGTTATTAAAATAAGTTTTTATTAACATTTCAATAAGAACATAAAGTAAAATGTCAATMATTTATATCTAAGGTATAAATTAGGTATATTATGTAATAAATATTTTGTTTTACTGTTTTTTTTTCAGGTGAAACAAAATCTAATATTTTACCAGGTATTGCATATTCAGATAGCTCTGATAAYGAAGATGACTAGTTCCTTGTAAATAATTTAGGTAAAATTATTATTCTTTATTTTATTTTGATATCATAATTGTATAAATAATTTTGTTTTTTAAGAAAATAAGAAAATTGCAGTTAAATAATTACTAAAATATTTAAGTGGATTATAAATTCAATATAAATGTTCTGATATGATAAARTATACATTTAGAACTATATTATTTTTGATTGTATTTCTTTAGCTTTTAATGAAAARAGATAAAATATACCCTTGTTATTTTGTTATTATTTATTGCATCATTTGAATTATTTAAAATAATCAAAATTGTAATTTAATAAAGCAGTAGTAAAACTTGTTTTTGAACTTTGTTTTCTTTTAACTATTTCTTTGTATAAAATATTTAAATATGCTCTTATAATTTTGAAGGTATTTGAAGACGTTCTGAATTCCAAATGTGGCCCTCCTAGAATATTAATTGGTAATCTTTGTTCAAATCTTCATATAATAATAACTGTACGATACTTTTATCATCTACCCCAAATATTYTTTTGATGATATTGCTATGATTTTTAGTATGGTGATATGGATATGCATTTCAGTTTCAACACTTTTGTGGATATCTTATTATTATTTTCATTATAAATTTATAATATTATTATAATATTCAGCTGAATAATAAATATTATCGATTTTTCCATTATAAAGGTCAACATTTTATTATTCGTATATTTTATCATATATTCATATATTCATATATATATATAAAATAAATTTTAGCTTACATTATCAGTATTAGGACTGCACTGTGAAAGAGAAAACCATCGCCGTAGCATGAACTTGAAAACGATCACTTAGCAGATGGACATTTGCCTAAAAACTAMATTTCCTTGAATTAAATTCAGTTAGATATAAATTAATTATGTCACCCTTGTGACTGTGTTTGTATRTACTATGCGTGAATGTGGTTAAATTCAAAATAAAACCATTATTATCATTGTATCATTAAATTCCATGCGTTTTGTTTTGTATGTCTTTAAAGTTTAAGGTTGATAACATAATAACCAATATGTATACATATTATTTAATATATACAACTGTATCTGTATTTTGTATATGCACAGTTCTTATGGTACATATAATCACAGACTATATGAGGTCATATAGTCTATTAGTCTGTGGTATAACGATAAAAAAATATTAGTTTACGATCGTTTTATTATATTAATATTAGTAGACTTTTTCAATATTGAATGGAATGGATTTGGACATGGTCACRAAACGTGTGAGGAATTACGGTGTAGGTCACCTGATGAAGCWTTATTTTWTATTGCTAAGTATAAAGGAGAAAATCCTACAACGKAAATTCAAGCACCGTCTGTCACAGACCACAGTACCTATGACAAATKAAGTCGAATATCCAGATAGAGCTAAATGTGGCAATGCCTAACGTTTATGTAGACCTGAAAAATGGTGTTACTGTGATAACAGACAAGGTGGTCATGTGTCATGGCGTCTTCAGCCACATTGAATGAGATGGATTTGAACTTGGTCATGAGACGGGCTTGAACGGTAAAAAAAAATGTAAATCGTAGGTAATCATTTTATTGTAAATTTACCTTACCAGTAAAATTTTACATKGTAAATTTTCGAGATTCACATTACTGCATATTTATATTATTTATATTATTTTCTAAATTATAATGTAATTGTTCAATATTTCGAGAAAAATATACGATTTTCTACATTTGCAACAAATCTTTGAATTTGTGACTATTACCTACAGACTACAGTTATAACATACTAACGAATGTATACGTATGCGCATACATACAAACACAATGCTTATGATTTGCATCAAARAATAATATATGTTTTGATAAATTTATTGAACAATATTGAAAAATTAAGGTAAGTTGCTTTACACCTTGGCTATTGAGTGTCAAATAATTTTAAATAAAACTTATTTAATCCTAACAATTAATTTGTTGGAGTTCATGAATTGCATGTTTTTGAATTGCATGATCTAAATATTTTGAAAATTCTATCAAATAATATAAAATGCCTATATTAACATTCAGTCAAAATTTCAAGTATCTGTGGTCATTTGTTTTAGAGTTACACCAAAATAAGGAAATCGCTAAAACTGAAAA